GATATGGTTCTATCAACTAAATATTATTTCACGAATGTAATTTGTTATTATCCAATCTGATGTTTGACGTAATCAAAGACACAACTTCTAATTCAAGTGTCAACGATCACGTGTAGTAATATAACCCAACCTAATGAGTTGGGGTCGAATCCCAAGGGAGTGGTTAGTAATCGAGAATTAAGTAGAAAGGTAAAATTATGTTCTAGTCAATCATAGCTATAAATATTTATGAGTAAAAACATACTAAATCAAGAAGTGACACAAATGTAAATTATCAATGGAGAGTTTGTATTCAACTAATAAACCAAAAATAGCAAAAATATAAAGATGCTAGATAGGGAGACGGGATTCTTTGGATGTGATAGGAATATTGGATAAAATAAACAATTGGGTAAATGCTATTGATAGTAAATTGTTGAACAATTGTAACTAAGCTAGACTTTAGTGCGGGTAAATTTTCTCTCGAACAACTTACCCCGAATCAACTCGGTTTCTCTAGAACACCGAGTTGAAGCCATTAAGCACAACATTCGCCTTAGCCCATTCATTCTCTCGAGCTAAATGTATGGGAGAAGATCTAGGATTCACTCTCTCGAGTTGAACCCACGACGACCCAATAACCATAGGCTATCGATTTAGTAGTTTTGGTTTTAAAACCTCTCTCTCGAGCAAGCCAAAAACACTAAGATGAAATCGTATTTGCAACTAAAATCCCATTAAGTTCAAACACAACTACTAAACGAAATCACATTTAAACAACAAATAGACTAACAATGAGCAATACCCAACAATAAATTTAACCTATATTCACATAATCACACCCAAAAAGTTGGGGTTTTAGCTAGACATGAAAAGGAGATAGAAATCGATACCTAAAAGTGTTTCCATCAAATGGGTACGATAAATAATGCCTTTAAACATGTCTAAGATGAAGATTCTTTGATGCCCACCTCCAATTTCTTGGAGATGAAAACCTTCAAAACCTTCCCGAGTTCCTTCGACGACCTCAGGCTTCTCGCCAAAAGTTACAGACACCAACAACATTTAGCGTGAAACTAAAGGCGAGATGGGGACACTAGGCGGACCACCGAGTGGTTTGGCGAGCTTGACCCAGCTCGCCAAACGGCCCAACATGCCTATTTTTAACCTAATTTCTCGAATTCAACCCCGCAACCCCCGAAAACAACATCAAAGCATGCACTAGTTAAATTAAGCTCAGATCCATAACACCCAAGTATAATACCCACAAAATTTACTTTATTTTAAGCGCAAGCCTACAAGATTTCGACATTCAAAACATTACAGGCAAGATTATCAAATTAAATCAGGCATTCAAACATACTAATTCTATTAGAGAGGCCCATCACACGACAACACGATAAGATTATTGAAAATGAGTACGTTTTGATAAAATAATCTCAGGGTTTGGAAAACCAACCTTTGATGCCGATTAATGAAGATTGAAATGCTAGGCGGCAAAGTAATCAACAATCCAAGCACCAATCAATGACTAAAATACTCTAAAAATGCAAGAAATATAGAAACTAGAGTGCAGGTGTGAGTTTGGGAAGATAAAAAGTGAGGGAATGTGAATGAATTTAAAATTTAAACCTTCGACCATCTAATAAACCGTCCAGTTCTTCGCTCATTTGGCAACGTCAATCATGATCGCCAACCCACTCGACGACACACCCGAGTGGTCACGTACGTCGCCAAGTTTTACAGGACCCTCAGTTGATGTGGAGGGCCAAACGGCGGACAAGATCGAGATCGCCTACTTGATCAGTGAATCGCCAATGATTTCTTGGGCTCGCTGAGTTTTACAGACTCTACCTTAAAGTTTTCTTGAGTCTAACGGTGGTCTAGGTTGGGATTGCGACCTCTTCAGCAATGCACCGTCTGGAACTTTTAGCTCGCCAACCTGCAATTTTCAACCACTTCCCACACATTAACCTGCACAATCAACACACCACTATTCTAAATGGCAAAGGGCCAAATATACCGCTGTACTATATAAAATAGTTTAAATATACCCCTAGTTATACTTTTGGGCCAAATATACCTCTCACGTTATACTTTTGGGCTAAATATACCCTTATGACTAACTTATGACACGTAGACGACTGAGATTAAGTGAACTATTCAATTTAAAATAAAACAAATTCGGATATTACCCGCCCCGCCCCAATAACTTGACCAGACCTAATATGTAAAATTAACCCACCCAATTTGTCTTTGAAAAGAAAAAACCTAATGGGCGATTGAGTTCTTACTCTTCAGCAACGTCTGCAACTTGGAGCCTCTTCATCACAAAGAATTTTGCTCAAAGGTATGATTTCTTTTCTTCTTCAAACTTTATAGCCTAAGTTTTTGAGTATGATTGAAACTTTATAGTCTAGGGTTGTTTTGTTTGTATAATTTCTTTCGTTGTTTGGAGTTTCATCGTCTAGGATTTTGGGTATGAATTATTTTCTTGCTTTAAATTTCATAGCCTAAGGTTTTGGATGTGGTTTCTTTTCTTGCTTCAAGCTTCATAAATAGCATAGGTTTTTGGGTATTGATTCAAATTCGACATAATCTGTTTATATATATTATGTTGGTTACTGTCTTGTTTTGGTGTCAAATTTATTTGCACGAGTACTCTTGATTTGTGATCCCGAATAATTTAGAAATTATTTTTATTTGTGTATGAAAATATGTTAAATTTTTATCTTCTTTATTCTTCAACAATTAGTCTCTTTCATATATTATATTCTTCTACAATCATGAAATGTGGTCCCTTTTGTATTTTTTTATTTTTCATCAGTCATAAAATATGGTATCTTTCACGTTTTCTATTCTTTTACAATCACAAAATGGGTCCCTTTTTAATTTTTAATTCTATAATTTTAAAGTATCTTTTTTTTTTGTTTTTTAGTCAGTTTCTTTAATTTGTTGTGGGGATGATTAAATATTAAGTATTTACACCAGAGTTAGCTCTGTTGAAAGGCATTATACATAGCCATGAATTTTTGTGGTTTAATTTTACATAAAAAATTGACTTTTCCAGATAGTATATCAATATTATAACAGAAACTACTGTTCATGTTGATGTTTGAACCAAACTAAAATTCTTCCTACTTTTGTGTCTAAATTGAGGCTAAATAAGTTAACTTAATACAAGTATTTATGAAATAACAGTGGTTCTTTTTAGAGTGAATAGAAATAGTGTCTATTGTTAAGTTTTAGTTGCAAAAGTTTGGATGTTTAAGAGTAACAGTTTATTCAATACAAAGTGATTTTGTGATTGAATTAATGCAAAAAATTAATTATGGGACAGAAGTTGTACCATTATTAATTCATATCGGTTCCCCTAACTTCACAACTGTTCTCTTTCTTTTGAAAATTATGTTGCTTATTTTGTTTTACCAAATATTTTCAGGCACTAAAATGGTTAATGTTGACATATATTTCAACTATGGAGGTGAATGGATTAAAAAGCCTATTTTCTTGTACAAGAAGAAGTCGTACAACCTATGGAGAGGGTATGATTCAGGCCTTCTTTATTTTATTGATATCGTCAATGAGTATACTACTTGATTTGGATTTGTAGGTGTGCAACAGTTAATTGTAAAGGGTCCTTGTGGAAGATATTATGAAATAGAAGGAGATATTGGAATTAGAAACTACTGTCTCTTGTGTCCAATGAGTTCTTTATAATAACTATGTTTGTTGTAGAAGAGTGTGAACTATTTGTATCTGTTCCTAATATTTTTCAATATGGTGAATAACTTTTCTCATTAGTTACTGAAATTGGTACTGATTGTAGTGAGACTGAAAGTGAAGCTGTGAATGATTCTTCAGATTATGATTTTGAAGAATTAGAGGCTTTTGCTACTGAAAAAAAATAAAAATATCTGAGGACTTGCATGATTATTTAGAGTTGTATAAGGGTATGTCCTTCAAGGATATACCATAAGCAAGACAATGCATCAGACTTTATGCATTAGGCAAGAAGCTAAAGCAAACTGTAGTTAAAAGTGACAGGTCCAGATTGAGGTTTACATGTAGTGAAGGGGCATGCCCATTTGTATGTCATATTTCTGGGGATTCTCATACTCCTGGAGTTAGGATTAAGACTCTAAATGATAATCTTACATGTTGACCAACATTCGATAATCATCTGGTTGATTACTCTATCATAGCTCAATATTTTAAGAAAAAGTTACAAGAAAATCCAAAATTTAAGATCAAGGAAATGAGGGCTGGTTTGCACAATGCTTTTAAGTTAAAAGCTAGCCAAGGAAAGTGCAAAAGAGCTAAAAGAATGGTTTTGGAAACTTTAGATGGTGGTTTTACTGATGGTTATAACAAACTTAAGGCTTATGCCATTGAACTGAAGGAGTCTAATCCAGGAAGTGATGTTGTGATTAATTTATCTAAGGAAGCACTTGCTCAAGGCAAAAGAAATTTTCTTAGAATTATATTTTCTTCAAGGTAATGAAGATGGGTTTTAAGGAAGGGTTGAGACCATTTATTGGATTAGATGGCACATTTTTTAGAGGTAAAGCCAAAGGACAGTTACTAGTTGTTGTTGGTCAAGACAGTATGAAACACTTTTATCCTTTAGCTTGGGCGATTGTGGATAAGGGGACCAAAAGGACTTGGAATTGGTTTTTGGAGCTACTTCAACATTCACTAGAACTCCAAAATGGAGAAGGCACAAACTTTATGTCAGACATGCAAAAGGTATATTATCTAATTTCATTACTATTCATTTTTTTCTTTTTCAGTTATGTTTTTGCATTTTCAACAGTCAATTGTTTACCTTTAACATCCAGGGATTACTGGATGCAATAAAGATGATGTTCCCTCAAGCACATAGTAGATATTGTGTGAGACACATTGAGGCAAATTGGTGCAAAAGACATGGTAAAGGTGTGTTGAAAAAGCAACTTTGGTAGAGTGCATGGTGGACTTATGAAGAAGACTTTCAAGATCATCTAAGTCAGTTGAAACAAATGGCTTTACCTGCCGGAGAGGATTTGCTTGAGTATCCTCCCAAAAGTTGGTGCAGAGCCTATTTTGATACAGTGTGTAAACATCCAGCAGTTGAAAATAACATAAATGAGTCATTTAATTCTTGGATACTAGAAGCAAGGTTCAAGCCCATCATTGGGATGTTGGAAGATATAAGAATTAAAGTAATGAATCGATTAGGGCAACAAGAAGATTATGTGATGAAATGGACTAGTGAATTTAGTCCAAAAAGCTTGAAGTTGTACAATGAATATATGAAGATAGATCAAATTTGTAGGGTTGACTGCAATGCAGATAATGGATATGAGGTTACTGAGGGGGATGATAGACACATAGTCAATTTAAGGGTGAAAAGGTGCACTTGTAGGGCATGGGATCTTGAAGGAATTCCATGTCCTCATACAATTAAAGCCTTGTTGCATGAAAGAATCAATCCTTTAACTGAAACGAATTGGTATCACAGCAAGGAGGCATTTCTACTAACTTACAAGCATAAGTTGCAACCTATGAGGGGAAATTTTTTTTGGAAAATTGACCCTCTTCAAGCAATGGAGCCACCAGAGTTTGTCAAGCTTGCTGGCAGGCCTAGAAATAAGAGAGTTAGACAGAAAGATGAAGCACTTAAGAGGCAAGGTGAGTAGGCTGTGTCAAGAAAAGGTAGAGTAATGACATGTAGCAATTGTGGAGAGCCAAATCATAACGTTAAGGGTTGTGACAAGGTATTTTATTAAATAGTTTAATTAACAGTTGTATGGAGTATTTATATTTTCTACCTTTTTGCTTGTCACAGTCAAAAAATGAAAATATGCTTGCTACGGGAAAGGGAAAGAAAAGGCAACGTAAAAGAGGTTTAGTTGATGAGGGAGAACCTTCTCAACTTGAAGAGAGCATCAACCTAACAGCCCCTCAAGAAACACAAAACTATCAAAGTAACATGTTCTCTGACTATGAACATGATGAAGATCCTTGTCTACATCCTACAATTATTTCAGAGACTCTTACTAGGCTTCAAATGAGGCAACAACAATATATACCAATAGGGAGAAGGGTAATATGTTGATATACCGTGAGTTTACGGTATTTCTAATACATTTCACTTACAAGTTATGTGTGTCTAGGGCCTTTTTATGTAGTTTTTTATGTGTTTTTATCATGTTTTGCAAGAAAGGTGTTCAGGCGCGGAAGTATAGAGACAGCTGCAAGAAATGCAGAAACAGGGCATTCACGGAGGAGATCTACGGACCGTAGGTCCATTCACGGTCCGTAGGTGATGACCGTAGATCAGCAGGCATGGGATTGAGGACAAATAAGGGAAATTTGACCAAGTGTGGAACCACGGTGTCCATTGACGGTCGGTAGATTGATCTACGGACCGTACTATTGATCCGTAGAATGATACTGCGAGGGTTCCAGTACCTGATTTTCGAAGATTCTAAGTATGGAGCTATGGAGGGGATTGACGGACCGTAGATTAATCTACGGTCCGTACTGTTAGTCCGTCGTTTGCTTCAGAGAAGCTGATTTTTTTGGAAGCAGAAATATTTTCTAAGTCTTGGCTGACGGAAGGGACTTACGGACCGTAGATCCATCGACGGTCCGTAACTTAATCTCGTGGATTGAAGACGTGTACCTAAACAACTTTCCTTAATTTGTTTCCCTTTTAATTTAGGATTTTTTTTCTATAAATAGGACATGTAAACCTCATTTTTGGGGGTTAGACATTATTATTCTATTTTTACCTTGTGACTTTGGAGATTAAGTTGCAACCCTAGCAATTATTGATTTCCTACATTCGTTTTGAAGATTTTGGCTTTGCAATTCAAGTTGAAATTCTGGGTTTATTATTCTCGTTACGTAAGTTCATGATTTATTCATCTAATATTATGAATTGTGTTCTTGCTAGTATGGGTAACTAAATCCACAACTAGGGTTGTGGGAACCATGAGCGGTTAACAAAGTATGAATAGTAAATAAGCAATTTTTGAATAGTGTTTTGCATGCATTGATAATTCTTTCGTTTAAAAGTCTTTTTAACGAGTGCACGCATTAGAACTCGCCTTGTTGCTACTTGCCGGATCAAGGAGGTAATCAACAAGAAAAGAATTATCAACATAGATTTAGTGTGATACTATCTAATAGGCTAGTGTCAATTGGTGCGAAGTAATAACTCAGCCAAACATCGATTATGATGTCTAATATGAGGCAAAGGTAAGGGTTAGTAAATTATACACACGTAGCCGGATCAAGGTGCGGGGTGAAATTCTCTAGATGCCGGATCAAGGATTCAGA